AAGAGGGAACAATTTCCTCTTAGAATAGAGGATTGTGTTTTATGAAATGATAGGCCTTGATTATTATAGAGAGCTGTGAGAAATTAATTAATATTAAGTTGAGGGTTGAGCCCACGGTGTCTACTGCATCTCTGTGTGATTTATTGTTTCAGCATCTGCCGTGAGCGTCGGGTGTCTTAATTTTCTGTATTATTTAGATGTAGTTGTGCATTCAAACCAGGTGGACACCATAAATGGCTAAGAAGTAACTGAATTTTCTGCCATTTTTGAAGTCTGTTACATTTTTGGAGGAAGGAGCTACTGTAGGTTGGCTTTTTTTTGCAAACAGGGATGAAATGAAATACACTTTACTGTACAGGCAGTCCTTGGTTTACAAAGTTACGACAGCACTGAAAAATAGAGATTTATGACTGCTTTTCACATGACTGTTGCAGCATCTCTATGGTAACGTGATCAAAATTCAAAAACCTGTTAAAACCTGACTCATATTTGTGACGGTTGCAATGCCCCGGGGTCATGTGATCACCTTTTGCGACCTTCTGACGAGCAAATGGTGTAAGGTCTCCTGCTTGGGCAGGAGGTTGGACTAGATGACCTACAAGGTCTCTTCCAGCTCTGATTATCTGCTATCAGTTAAAGTCAATGGGGAAGCCAGATTCACTTAGCAGTTGTGTTACTAGCTTAACAACTGCAGGGATTCACTTAACAATTGTGGCAAGGAAGGTCATAAAATGGCCAAAACTCATTTAACAACTGTCTTCTTTAGCAACAGAAACTTTGAGCTCAACTGTGGTTGTAACTCAAGGACTACCTGTAGTGGAAACACTTTAATATACATTAAGAGTTCTTGATATGTCGAAAATGAAGTCTGTCTCCTCTTGTAATTAATGAGTAAAGTTGTTTGTCTCTTCAAAGTTTGCAAAATTCCCACAGAAGACCCTTGAGAGTTTAAAGTGTTGCATTGAGCAAATTAAAATGATCTACTCCCTCAGAAAAACAGAACGGCTATTTTTAAAGCAGATTTCTCTAGGCACTTTTCTACTGCTAACTTTTTACGAATGGGCTAGCCAATCTCAACCAAAGCCTTTGGGTTTTTTTTTTCCTATATAGATGACATTTTGTCTTTGTTCTTCAGAAACAGAATTTGAGGTAATTTAACTGTGACCTGTGCCAATTTATGAAGTGATCCCGAAGCTCTGTCTGTGAAGTTAAATGTGTATATAATGGCTTTTTGCAATAATTGCTCCTTCTCTATTTATTTTTGTCCCGGAAATATGCATTTGTATATTTATATAAAGAGTCTCTTTTTTTTAAAAAAAAAAAATCTAATTGTTTTTTACAAGCCAGGAGCAGAAAAATAAACTCAGTGACTTCTTTAAAATCAGATGTGGACATTTTAATTCTTTCGTTTAAAACAATCCTAACATTGGAGTGTCTGTTGAGAGAAATCCATGCTGGAGGAACTCGGTAAACCTGTTCAGCTAAACCGACATGTAAAGTTGGAATTCCCCCATCAAGTTACCATCAGTTGGTCCCCTTCAAATCCTTGCAGCCTAGATTGCAAATTTGGACAAGGGTGCAAATCCAAAGAATAATTCTTCCACTTCATTATTCTGAGAAGCGCAGATTTGATTCTGTGTCTTAGCAGCTGTAAAGGAGTGTGGTGGCTCACGTGGTTAAATAATAATAGAATAATACAGGTAGTCCTTTTTTACGACACCTTTTGAGCCCAACACGGGTCATAAAATGGGGCAACACTCCCTTAACAACACTCCCTTAATTTTGGGCTCCTTTGTGGTCAGAAGTTGAGGACTTTCCTACATTATTGATTGCTGTGGGACTCTACTTGATAACGTCCCAGTGAATAAGTCCACACCTAGAGTCCTGCATCCAGTTTTGGTCACCGTACTATAAAAAAGACGTTGAGACTCTAGAAAAAGTACAGAGAAGAGCAGCCAGGATGATTAGGGGACTGGAGGCTAAAACATACAACAAACGGTTGCAGGAACTGGGCTTGGCTAGTCTAGAGAAGGATCAGGGGAGACATGATAGCGGTCTTCCAATATTTGAGGGGCTGCCACAGAGAGGAGGAAGGGGTTAAATTATTTTCCAAAGCACCAGAAGGCTCGACAAGGAATAATGGATGGAAATTGAGGAGGAGGAGAGATTCAACCTGGAAATAAGGAGAAACTTTTTGACGGTGAGAACAATCAACCAATGGAACAGAAATTGCCCTCAGAAGTTGTGGGAGCATCATCACTTGAGACTTTCAAGAACAGATTGGACTGCCATTTGTCAGAAATGGTGTCGGGTCTCCTGCTTGGGCGGAGGGGTTGGATTAGATGACCTAGAAGGTCCCTTCCAACTCAGATTATCTGTTATATGTTAACAAGTATCTTAATCAGGGGTGGGATTCTATCAGTTCGCATCTATTTGCTAGAACTGGTTGTTAAAATTTTAAGCAGTTAACATTCTAAGCAGTTCGGATAACTGGTTGTTAGAAGAAATTACTGTAAAGAAGGCAGGAAGGAAACATTCTGGTGTTGCTTACAGAAACTGCCTCTCCGTTAACCTTTATTATATTCTTGACGGGACTAGACTTCCTGTCTCAGGAACTTCTCTGGAGTTTTTTTCCCCCTCCTTTGCTGGTACTTTGCTTGTGTGGAGTGACCATTCAAAATTACAATGGCACTGAAAAAAGTGATTTATGACCATTTTTCACACGACTGTTGCAGCATCCCCACAGTCATGAGAGGCCAGGTGAGGAGACACATGCCTCGATGTGAGTGATGTTGAGTTGGCCACGCCCAGCCAATAACATGACCACCAAGCCACATCCACCCAGTCACATGAACACCAAGCCACACCCACCACCTAAGCCACACCCACAGAACCAGTTGTTAAAAAAATTGAATCCCACCCCTGATCTTAATCCCATCGCCCTGAAAACTCTTGCCAACTAACCCGGGGAAAACCTTTTGCTCTTCCTTACGCCTTTTAATAAAAATGTGCAGAAGTCAAGGTGAAGATAACAATGACCCTCCCAGCTTCATATATCCGTTGCCCATTTATACGCCAGCCATGTATCTGTCATTCTCAAGCTGTGCATTGTCTTGAAGAGATTAAGCTGCAGCTGAAATCAC